CACTATTGAGCAACATGCACTACCACTGTCACCACTATTGAGCATCATGCACTACCACTGACACCACAAGGGAGCTACATGTACTACCACTGTCACCACTATTGAGCATCATGCACTACCACTGTCACCACTATTGAGCATCATGCACTACCACTGACACCACAAGGGAGCTACATGCACTACCACTGTCACCACTATTGAGCAGCATGCACTACCACTGACACCACTATTGAGCAACATGCACTACCACTGTCACCACTATTGAGCTACATGCAGTACCACTGTCACCACTATTGAGCAGCATGCACTACCACTGACACCACAAGGGAGCTACATGCACTACCACTGTCACCACTATTGAGCAACATGCACTACCACTGTGACCACTATTGAGCAAAATGCACTACCGCTGTGAGCACTATTCAGCAAAATGCACTACCACTGTCACCACTATTGAGCAACATGCACTACCACTGTCACCATTATTGAGCAAAATGCACTACCACTGTCACCACTATTGAGCAGCATGCACTACCACTGACACCACAAGGGAGCTACATGCACTACCACTGTCACCACTATTGAGCAACATGCACTACCACTGTGACCACTATTGAGCAAAATGCACTACCACTGTCACCACTATTGAGCAACATGCACTACCACTGTGACCACTATTGAGCAAAATGCACTACCGCTGTGAGCACTATTCAGCAAAATGCACTACCACTGTCACCACTATTGAGCAGCATGCACTACCACTGTCACCACTATTGAGCAAAATGCACTACCACTGTCACCACTATTGAGCAGCATGCACTACCACTGTCACCACTATTGAGCAACATGCACTACCACTGACACCACTATTGAGCAGCATGCACTACCACTGTCACCACTATTGAGCAACATGCACTACCACTGTCACCACTATTGAGCAACATGCACTACCACTGTCACCACTATTGAGCAGCATGCACTACCACTGACACCACTATTGAGCAAAATGCACTACCACTGTCACCACTATTGAGCAACATGCACTACCACTGTCACCACTATTGAGCAAAATGCACTACCACTGTGAGCACTATTCAGCAAAATGCACTACCACTGTCACCACTATTGAGCATCATGCACTACCACAGACACAACAAGGGAGCTACATGCAGTACCACTGTCACCACTATTGAGCAGCATGTACTACCACTGTCACCACTATTGAGCATCATGCACTACCACAGACACCACAAGGGAGCTACATGCACTACCACTGTCACCACTATTGAGCAGCATGCACTACCACAGACACCACAAGGGAGCTACATGCACTACCACTGTCACCACTATTGAGCAGCATGCACTACCACTGTCACCACTATTCAACAAAATGCACTACCACTCAGAGCACTATTCAGCAAAATGCACTACCACTGTCACCACTATTGAGCAAAATGCACTACCACTGTCAGCACTATTCAGTACATGCACTACCACTGTCAGCACTATTGAGCAAAATGCACGTGTCGGTCGACTTGATTCTATAAACAGCTACAAAAACGCGACAAAAATGAAAACTATTCTTTAATTTTTAACCTTATTCAATATGTGCATCTTTTACGCCACTGTTCAAGAGGAAAGTGTTCCAATAACGGATTGTATGAACAATTACGAATCTAAGCACGACTGGAACTTATCCTTGACATTTACAACAACTACTGATATAATAGACATAAGCTCATGTTTTCTTAAATTTGTTTCAGTACCAATATATTTTTTCCACGATTATTGGTCTGATCATTGAAAATGTAAACATTTTTATTGTTGTTTAAGCACGATTGGAAGTTTTCCTTGACATTTCCAAGTGTATTGTCGCTTAAGACACACTTTCAAGTATTCTTACATGGTTTTGATGCCAATACCATTCTACTGGCAAACTAATGTAAAAACTTAATACATAACCAATCACACATTTTTTGACAAGTGGAACTTCTCCCCTAAATTTCCTTAAAATAAAACCACAGGCTCTCGTGTATGCTGTAAGTGGCGGATGCTACCCATAGAGCAGGGCATCCTCACAATAGACACCTGGTGACATCTCTCGTTTTCGGTGACCTATACCAATATTTATCCCTACTTTGGTTTTATATTGTATGGAATCTCTCTCGGCAGACATCGAGACTGATTATTCTCTAGCGATGACGTTTGCAGCGGCAACTGTCTTCGCTATTCCCATGACATGTGGTTCAACAAATGTGAGTCGCTATTCCCATGACATGTGGTTCAACAAATGTGACCAGATTGTACGTGGACAAAGCGTGGGATAGGATAATAGGATATGCTGTTCACGGCATTGGACATATGTCGGAAGTTCGTAGTCTTATATCAATAATTTCCTTCTGTATAATTCAATAAATGACTTGCCGTCCCGTGACGTGTCATTTAGTTTCCTCATTTTGGTATTTAATTCAGAAAGGATTTCAGGAACAGTCATTTTCTCGATCCTTTTAAATCATTTACGCCAATAAATGTTACTTTTGTGTCAGGTAAGAAGCTTTTGTGTGCATAGTGCATACACAAGCGGGATACTTTGGAGTTGGAGAGTTTGTGAGTTTTCAAAGATTTAAATACAAACGAACCCGGGTTTTTCTTTGTGGTTTCAGCTAGGGATAATCTAGATAATGCATGTAGATGAATGTAAGACATCAGTTACATCATATCTTTACATTCATTGCGGGGATACGATAAAAGTGATGATTTTGTGGATAAAGTCTAATTCTATTCCAACGGGTTTAAACTGGTCTAGTGGTTGTAGTATTTACTCGTTCCGCATGGAAGTTTGTTTTTGGTTTCCGAATTCATAAAGGCGTGAAATGGAATTCTGGTTTCCCCTCCGTTATGTGGTTGGGATATTGGTAATAGCGGAGTGAAATCTCACTCACTCACTCACTTACTCACTCACTCACAATATGTCCTTAGAATATAGATTCTTATTACCAACGTGGGCGAAAATATCGGGGTTCACATTTTTTATATGATGCCCTTGGGCAAAATATCACTTTGTCATGGTGACATGACGTCATGAACAATGCTATGACGTCACGTTTCTTCTGTGACGTTGCGTTCCACATACGGAGGGTAGCCAGCCTATGTTTGAAAGTAGATTTGGGTTTATTTTCCTCAATTTGTCGACATCGGTAGTAAACTGACAAATATATTCGTTCCCATATCATACTATGTTTAAAACACCCGTGTTTAAATATGTGTTTATCCCGTGTTCTCGGGACATACCAACATTTAGGCACTCGTGCAATAAACATAGTATGACACGGGCACTCATATAATACCCTCTACGTATTGCATTTCATGGGGATGAAGCTTCAAACGTGCACTTCACATATCTCAGTTATTGTTTTCTGTTTTGGTATTTGGCCTGTGTGGAATAAACTATGCCCGGATATTAAAAATCTTCTTCCTTCTTCATAAACTGAAAAGTTTTTGTAATTTAAAACCATGTGGACATGTCAATCAAAATACGTGGAATGTTTTACAAAAAGGCTGTCGCAATAATCCCTGCCTCCGTGATGGTGCTGAAGACACGTTAATTCTCTAAGTACGTATGTCGTCTCTATACAAAAGACATTTAGAATCAGTCAAAATCATCTGAGGAATGCATAATTTCCCAATGCTGTTCACGGAAACGTTCAAATAAATTTGAATACAATTTAAATAAACATACTAATATGATGAAATGTACTCATACGAAAAACGTGTTTTAAATCACTGGGCGGTGGGGTAGCCTAGTGGTTAAAGCTTAGCCACGACGAAGACCCGGGTTCGAATCCCCATGACGGGTACAATGTGTGAAGCCCATTTCTGGTGTCCCCCGCCGTGATGTTGCTGGAATATTGCTAAAAGCGGCGTAAAACAAAACTCAGTCAGTCAGTCAGTTTTAAATCACTTATATTTGCAGGGCTCCATGACGAGATTTCGATGACGTCATCAAACAAGAATTACGTCATACGTGTCAGTGAGAGAATTTGGAAATATCTGGAGATTAAACATGATTACTGAAATAGGACATGCAATGTTTAGAATATCGAAAACTAAAAGATAAACTAAACTAAACTAAACTAAACTAAACTTAGCAAGCAAGTAGGAACATCCGATCTCTATGCTCATGTTTCGACACATTGGCCTTTGTGTTGTGGTACATAGTGGGTGACTAGGTCTGGTTTAAACAGTATTCCTAATCCTAGGGAAAATAGTGTCCTTGATGGAGGGAATGACTGGAACCGGTTGTTATAGAAACTATGTTATCCAGCTTCACGTAGCAGAGACGGGTATGTTCACAAAATAGTTTTGCTTGCGTTATAGAGTGACCAGAATCAAACGCCATTGTGTGCAATTCTGGACACCAGAAATTGCTTTATTGTACCCATGTAGTGAATTCAAGCCCAGGTATTCACCGGACGCTTTACCGGTCGGTTACACCACCCCTACTTTCATACCAAGGGTCGTAACTGGAGTAATGAATTTACATCAGTCGGGTCCTTAGATTGACAACACACATATGTATGATCCTCAGGGAGTTGAGATTAATAGTACGATGGGCCGTTTGAGACTGACAACATCCAATGATCGAGGGAAAAACAAAGCGAATTTGAGCAGCTGAGCTGGATATTGGCGCTATACAAATATTAGCATAATGATAATAAATTTGTTTGCAAAAATAATGTGTGTGTCTATCTATCTATCTATCTGTCTGTCTGTCTGTCTGTCTGTCTGTCTGTCTGTCTGTCTGTCTGTCTGTCTATCTATCTATCTCTATATCTCTATATCTCTATATTCCCCGCAAATAACTGCATTTTTAACAAGAAAAAGTACCTTACTGTAACTGGAGTTTACCATTTTAGTGATACGAAATATTTCTTAAACAGTTATCCCATTACATATTTACAAATATGAGACAAATCTAACATGTCTGTACTTCATTTCAGAGCAGAAAACAACCCGGAATGAGCCATACAAGTACACAATAAACTGTTTTGAAAAAGGTAAGAGCGTTTTGAATTTTTTTTTAATTTAATATTTGAAAAATGGGTCAAAGACATCAATGGCAGAACTGTTCATACAAACTCAGAATACGTCGCCAAACATGTGCTCGAAGGTCTCCTGAACATGTGGTTCTTCAAGATGGTTCACACAGTTCAGTGGAATAAAACGTCAATTAACTTGGCCCTCTTTCTAACAATTCTTTAGAAAATAATTTTCTGGCATATAAATTAACTTTTTAAAATGTAAAAGTTTACTTATTTTGGTTCTACGTACCTGTCAGAAATTTAAACAAACCGAGTTGCTGGTTTTTTCTCAAATAATTGCACGAATAGCTTCCCATGAACGGAGACAACCGTAGGCTTATGCAGTTTTAACGTTATGGCACAACCTGCGTCATATATATCATGGTGGCGTGGCTGAGCTTTTTCTTTGAAGTTCCACATAATTATCGCATATACGACATGGGAAGTTTTATCACAGCATGACAGATAATATGATATTACCGTAGAACGAGTTGTCATTGTAACCGTGCATGGTTAGTTAAGCATGTATATTGTGGTGTTGTGGCTGTTGAGGAAGGTGAGATACGCGTCCGTTGAATCCCGTCACTGGTGATAAAATAATATAAACAGGACAGAGATGGTTGTGTATTATCCGAGTGGGATGGGGAGTTGATGTAGCTTTAAGAGCTCGTATTAGTTTTGCTGAGGTAGAGTCTAGTTTATGATGCAGCCCGTGGTTGTTATGGCAGTGTACGTTACGGAGACAAAGATACTACTGTAACGTCAGATTCGACGTCGGGTTTGACGTTGCATCAAGTTTTATCATAATTATTTGACGTTGTGTCGTATAGTCTATAATTGTAGCGTCGTGTGTGTGTGTGTGTGTGTTAGAGAGAGAGACGGACACAGGCACACACACACATTTATATTATGAAGGAGTTTGACTTCAAACCTTTACTGAAAAGTAGACACATATATTAAAGAACCCTGGTATGTTGAGATAATTCTGTTTGATTAATTCTGTGATATATTTAGGATATATTTTATGTGTATGTTTGCATTTTTGGGTAGGAATGTGAGCTTGTAAAAGAAACCAGAGTTCTGGTCACTTTGCATCATCGTGCATGACGTCTATGCACGCTCTTCATGATGTCAAATATTGGTTTACCTGGGCTAGTGACCATTATGATTATGCCGTCCTGATTAAATTTAAATAGTGCAAACTGTAACCACTCGGACATGTACAGGTGTTGTTTCGTGTTCGTCACATATCAATACGTTACCACAGGCCAGGCTTTGGTGGTCAGGCATGTCATATTCATCAAATTGGATGGATATCGCCTGAGTGTAACAACCTACAGAGCCTACGTACCATCTAGTCTTTCGTCAGTCTGATAAAATAAGAGCGACACAACCTTTCCAAATCCCTAATAAATCTCTGATAAAAACAGAGTCGAATATACAATTCCGGCTATACCCTGAGTATATTATTATGTAATAAGTACACTGCGACTGTGTAAAGTGTGTAAGTTAGACATGATTGAAGATGAATTTCATTTTGTTATGATATGTCCAGCTTATGAAAGCCTAAGATCTAAATACCTACAGTTTGTCTGTATATCCATAATATTAAAACTAGTTTAATCAACTTAATGGCATCTAATGATACAAACGTTCTTATTAAGCTACAACTTTATGTTCACTATGCACTACGTCTGAGACGTCAATTTTTGTAAATTGCAAGTTCCAGCCTCCTGCTTGTATCATCTGTATATGGTCCGGAGGTCACACATGCTGAATAAACAAACTGAATTGAATATGTGTTTATTAATCACTATCAAATAATGATGACACCAGGTGTTCGCGTAAAGGTGTCCTACCTTGCCGGCGGCAACCGCCATAAATACATACAAAGGCTAGTCAACTATTCAACTGTTTACCTGAAATATAATCATGTGATACGATGAAACTGTACGTTTACGATAGGTCGTAACTTTCCGAGTGAGTATGAGTTTAGGCCGCTTTTAGCAATATTTCAGCAATATCACGGCGGAGGACACCAGAAATGGGCTTCACACATTGTACCCATGTGGGGAATCGAACGATTTAACCGCTAGGCTACCCCACCGCCCCTTGTAACTTTACGAACGCTCAGTGGATCCCATCCTTACACAGCATGTACGGATATCATGATGACAAATACTTTAACGTATCTTTCATGTGACGATTGACTTTATTTGGACTTTGAGCGAACCCTAATTTCATCAAGCGGGTCAAACGTACATCTAATCGTTGCCGAAAATATTTTTTTGGTGCGTGAGAATTATTTGTAATATCACCATTATATGGTTCATGAACGGGATTTACGAGCTGAACGTTCGTGGACACGGTCTGCTAATACTACTGAATATAATAATAATACCAATGATAATGATAGCCATTGTTTGGGGCCCTTTTCAACATGTTCATAGCACAATCCATCTGTTTTTGCTCTCAAATGCACCTGCACACCGCATCTCTCAATATTCTTGCAGAGCATGGATTCAGAAATATCTATGTCCTATAAATGCCGATATGAAAAGGTAAGTTTCCAAAAGCTTATTCTCCTTACTTTCGTCAAGGCTCAAATTAATATATTACCAGCGTATAATATATGTAAACTTAGCCCCGAGTGTGACGCGAACAGACATGCCGCTCGTGTAGGGAAGAATACCGGATGTAGGATACGCTGTTAAAAATGAGTTAAATATGATTAAAACAAATGTCAAAACTGCATAACGATTTTACTGGTTGCCTTGGTGAAATAAAATATAATCTCACGACAGTTGTGAGACGCGACAATTTGACAATGTAAACCGCGGAAAAGATTCAAGGGAAGAGATCGAAGAATTGCTGTTTTCTGTTTGAGGGATATATGATTAATCGTGCTTATCTGCATGCAGCACTGGTGCTATATTTAAAAAAAAATTGGTCAGTGTTTGGTCAGTGGCTAAACTGTGTATCAAGGAAGGAGGGTGTTACTCTTTGTAGTTTAGTTCAAACTGAATTTGTTTAATCTATAAAAGAAAATTTTAAGAACATGCTTTCATCGTTGAGGCTTTGGTCTCGGGGTTTTCAGTTAAATTTGATTCTGTTGCAAACATGGCGTCTTTGTTCTTTCATTAAGTGTCAGTGTGGATGAAAATGATTGAGAGGATTTGAATTGACTCCTACGTAGTCACAAACTACTAGCGTCTATCATTTGTGGTTGTTCGAGTCCGGACAAACCAGTGACTGATATAATGAACAACAAATCTGCCGCCGAATAACGATGATACGCATACATCACTCATTGTCCATTTTGATTAAAAAGGACATACAAAGTCCACAGTTCCTTCATTTTCATGGCTCACAAAATATTGGATCCAGGGATGCATTGAAAAAGAACAAAGTCCACGTTTCCTTCATTTTCATGGCTCTAGCAAATATTGGATTCAAGGATGCATTGAAAACATACAAAGTCCACGTTTCCTACATTTTCATGGCTCTAATAAATATTGGATTCAGGAATGCATTGAAAAAGTACAAAGTCCACGTTTCCTACATTTTCATGGCTCTAATAAATATTGGATTCAGGGATGCATTGAAAAAGTACAAAGTCCACGTTTCCTTCATTTTCATGGCTCTAATAAATATTGGATTCAGGGATGCATGAAAAGTACAAAGTCCACGTTTCCTTCATTTTCATGGCTATAATAAATATTAGATTCAGGGATGCATTGAAAAAGTGCAAAGTCCACGTTTTCTACATTTTCATGGCTCTAATAAATATTGGATTCAGGAATGCATGAAAAAGTACAAAGTCCACGTTTCCTTCATTTTCATGGCTCTAATAAATATTGGATTCAGGGATGCATTGAAAAAGTACAAAGTCCATATTTCCTACATTTCCATGGCTCCAGCAAATATTGGATTTAGGGATGCATTGAAAAAGTACAAAGTCCACGTTTTCTACATTTTCATGGTTCTAATAAATATGGGCTTTAGGGATGCATTGAAAAAGTACAAAATCTAAGTTTCCTACATTTTTATGTGTTTAATAAATATTGGATCTAAGGTCGGTGTGGTAGTCATGTGTTTAAAGCGTTAGGTCGTGATCACAAAGAGCGGGTTTCATTCCAAAATGGTTATATTTTCTAAATCAGCCCTTCATAATATTGCTGAATTGGTAATATCAGGTGCCCAGTGCTATATTCATGAACATGACATGAAGTATTGTAAAGTCATTACCCTTGATCAAATTATGCCTCGATGTAAAATGTTAACTGGATGTATGTGATAACGCTCTGTTGATTCACGAAGGTTAGTTGAGCGTAAACGCGAGAACAAATGTTTATCTTTCCTTCATAACATGCACGTGTTAACCTGCATTTCCATGTTATGTGACCATTTCACGTGCAGTCCGGAGGTCTTAACTTGCACGTGCAAACACAATGGGCTGGTGTTAAAGAGGTGGCATGGAGCTTTTCAATCTAAACCATCAACTGGATTGGTTGACACGAGGCAAGAGGAGCGAAAAGCGACCAGACAAGCCCACTGGAAACCGCAGATCGTAAAAATGGGATATACATGTTCAGTTGGTTGATAATTGTTTTTTCATAGCCATTGCTCGCGAAACATTTCTACATCAGACATGAACAAGGTCACAAAATAAGAAAATGAATAAAAAACTGGATAAAATAATCTGACAGTGATCTGGTCACATAAATTACTTATTCATAGGTTGGAACTGTTTAGGAACCTAAGAAAAAAACAGATTTGGTTAGAAGGCTTGCTGTTGTAACACAAGCAAAAAAACAACGCTTCCTACCCATACGAAACATTCTACAAACAAAACTTTGGGTATTCATCTAGTTTTAAAAGAAATACACCGTACATAGTCGTTTTCCACACGGGGCAAAATTACACTTTCATTCTTGTGGGAATATCTGATTTTCAAAGCGATTTATAAAACATTCTTTTTGTTATAAGTTTCTGTGGGTCATTGTCATACCTTTTGTGATTTATTATTTATGTCTTATGTTCAGTATATAGAGAATGTCACCCAAGCGTATAGTGATATCAATTATATGAACAAATATCCGAGGCTTGCCGAGGATATTTTTACCTTTATCAACGAGTGTTGATATAATTGATATCAGTAGACACGAGGGTGAGATTCTATTTATCATCAAAAATCATTCTTCATTAGTTTTCAATGAAAAATGTACATCTCTCAACACTGTACTACCATTAGACTTGCAGTGCAGCGATGTCATAGCATTGTGACGTCATCAAGTTGATGACGTCATAGCATTGTCAGGGCATTGTACAAAATCTACTGTCAAAACGATATCTCCCAGGATTTATCTCCTGTGGAACACAGTTTTGGATGATAAAAACTGTTTACGTTAACAGTTCGTACACTTACTAAAACATTTATACATGTACTACTTTAATTCTCTAGCTACTTCTTTCTAACTCAGTGTATATATGATGATGGAACGAAATGTTTACAAGACGTAAACCACCAATATAACTTGTACCAATGCAAAATGTTTCACTTACCCTAATCTGTTTAGCCATCTTTTGTCGGCTGAAAATACAAAGAAATACTTTACTGGACAAACCGTAATATGTGATGTTGTGCATATATGATATGATGTGGATATGTCATAATGTTATCTCTAGTAGATATGGGGGCGGTGGGGTAACCTAGTGGTTAAAGCGTTCGCTCGTCACGCCGAAGACCCGGGTTCGATTCCCCAGATGGGTGTAAAGCCCACTGCTAGTGTGTGAAGCCCATTTCTGGTGTCCCCTGCCGTGATATAGCTGGAATATGGTAAAAAGCGGCGTAAAACTGAACTCACTCACTCACTCACTCACTCTAGTAGATATGTCTCCACTGAGGTATTGTCGATGTCACATTGGTGTGGTATTTCCTCCAAGACTTATCAGAGGCATTACCGATGTCATATTGCGGTGGTATTTCCTCCAAGACTCATCAGAGGTATTGTCGATGTCATATTGCTGTGGTATTTCCTCCAAGACTTACCAGAGGCATTACCGATGTCATATTGCGGTGGTATTTCCTCCAAGACTTATCAGAGGAATTGTCGATGTCATATTGCTGTTGTATTTCCTCCAAGGCTTATCAGATGTATTGTCGATGTCGTATTACAGTTGTATTTCCTTCAAGTCTTATCAGAGCTATTGTCGATGTCATATTGCTGTGGTATTTCCTCCAAGACTTATCAGAGGTATTGTCGATGCCATATTGCTGTTGTATTTCCTCCAAGACTTATCAGAGGTATTGCCGATGCCATATTGCTGTTGTATTTCCTTCACGACACATCTGAGGTATTGTCGATGTCATATTGCTGTTATTTCCTTCACGACACATCTGAGGTATTGTCCTCCCTCCAAGACTTATCAGAGGTATTGCCGATGTCATATTGCTTGTTTTTCCTCCAAGACTTATCAGAGCTATTGCCAATGTCATATTGCTGTTGTATTTCCTTCACGACACATCTGAGGTATTGTCGATGTCATATTGCTGTGGTATTTCCTCCAAGACTTGTCAGAGATATTGTCGATGTCATATTGCTGTGGTATTTCCTTCAAGACTCATCAGGGGTATTGTCGATGTCACATTGCCGTGGTATTTCCTACAAGACTTATCAGAGGCATGTACCCTGCCATATTGCTGTGGCATTTCCTCCACGAGACATCAGAGCTATTTTCGCCTTTATATGGCTGTGGTATTACCTTCAAGACTCATCAGGGAGATTTGTCAATTTCATATTGCTGTGGTGATACCTTCAAGACTTATTTGAGATATTTCCACCATCACCAACAATCTGCAACCCTCTGTAGGAGGTCAAATATATAATAAAACTGATTTAAATGAAACAGCCTACCAGCATCAGGTATCATGATATTGAAGTTGAAACTGGAATAAATACTCGCTTAATAACGAATATGCCGATATTAAAAAAAGAAATTGCTATCGTAAAACTGAATATGATTTCCTTGTAATATTTCTATGTTGTATTTATAAAGAATGAAACTAAACGTTTTACCATGCTGACTATAATAAGCCTTTTCTGTATTAGGTCTATAAAATCATCAATGCCATAAATATTTTTTTCTAGATATAGGGCACTTGTTTATTAATGCATACGCATAGATATTACATGTGTCTATATACTGGGCCTAATGTCTTACACCAAATGTCTGTCTGTCTGGTTGCATTCTTGAATCATAAGACGTTTTAGAAACATTTATTGCTTTACTTTGGTGTCTGATTCAAAGAACACAGTGTAACATTGTACAACCTGACAACCCAGTTTGAGTGATAGGGACAGCTTAATAATGGGGATATAAAAGGGTTTGCATTCCATCCCCATCAGCGCGTTATATTGGGGATGTAAGGTTTGTCTCTAGTATAGGGAGGAGGAACTGTGTTTTATCACCACAATGGATTTTCAGTCACTGTTTTCTAGGGCTGCAACACAAAACATCGGTTGCTCTATCTGTAATTTGTTCTGCGAAAGTAATTAGAAGTTGGAAGGGAGTTTGCTATCATTACGAAAGCCGTCCCCTTTCTCATTCACAATTCAACAAGAGCTGTCGATTGATTTTCTAATTCCAAAGTATAAGTCGGAATATTTCGGTCATTTCCGTTAACCTTCCGGAAACAACCGAGAAATTGTGAATGACGAGGCAGCGATGTGTGTTCCCCGACAAGAATCTTTACCTCCGATTGGATTAAGAGTTAGACTGTTTAGAGATTCACATTCAAGTTTAAACTATTTATAACAACAAAACACAATTTTTAAGAATATATCTACATAATATTCAGACGATATCGTCAGAAGATCACGGTGTATATGCTGATGTTCGTGTTGATTTTAGAGTTACCTGTCCTTGTCATCACGTGACTTGATCAGAGTCGCACCATCGGCACAATATGATTGAACCGTTAGTGAAAAGCATAACATGATGTACATACTTACATAAACGTTGTTTTATAGATTTACTGGCTAAATAATAATTTAAAAAAGTAAAAAGTGGTCATAATCCGACAGGTACATGTGAGGTAAATAAGTGATATTGTTTTCCCTAGGTGAAGGTCATATGATAATTCCAAGACATTCATTCAGCCGCTTGTCAACCTTGTCGTGACTGCCTCCAATGTGTCCTGTGCCTTGTCATCCTTGGTTATGGCGATCACACGTTACACGCAGAGGCGAGGCCAGGAAGTGGGAGAGTGTGTTGGAGTGCGAGTCGACTGGTTTTGGTGTATGAGACTGTGTGAAGGGGTTTGTGGGTAGGTGACTGTGTGAAAAGGTTTGTGGGGAGGAGACAGTGTGAAGGGGTTTGTGGGGAGGAGACAGTGTGAAGGGGTTTGTGGGGAGGAGACAGTGTGAAGGGGTGTATGGGTAGGAGGCTGTGTGAAGGGGTGTATGGGTAGGAGACTGTGTGAAGGGGTGTATGGGTAGGAGACTGTGTGAAGGGTTGTATGGGTAGGAGACAGTGTGAAGGGGCGTATGGGTAGGAGACTGTGTGAAAGGGTGTATGGAGTAGGAGACTGTGTGAGGGGGTGTATGGGTAGGAGACTGTGTGAAGGGGTGTATGGGTAGGAGACTGTGTGAAGGGGTGTATGGGTAGGAGACTGTGTGAAGGGGTGTATGGGTAGGAGACTGTGTGAAGGGGCGTATGGGTAGGAGACTGTGTGGGGGGGGGCGTATGAGTAGGAGACTGTGTGAAGGGGCGTATGGGTAGGATACTGTGTGAAGGGGCGTATGGGTAGGAGACTGTGTGAAGGGGCGTACGGGAAGGAGACTGTGTGAAGGGGTGTATGAGTAGGAGACTGTGTGAAGGGGTGTATGGGAAGGAGACTGTGTGAAGGGGCGTATGGGTAGGAGACTGTGTGAAGGGGCGTATGGGTAGGAGACTGTGTGAAGGGGTGTATGGGTAGGAGACTGTGTGAAGGGGTGTATGGGTAGGAGACTGTGTGAAGGGGTGTATGAGGTAGGGAGACTGTGTGAAGGGGGGAAGGAGACTGTGTGATGGGTAGGAGACTGTGTGAAGGGGCGTATGGGTAGGAGACTGTGTGAAGGGTAGGGAACTGTATGGGTAGGAGACTGTGTGAAGGGGCGTGTATGAGTAGGAGACTGTGTGAAGGGGTGTATGGGTAGGAGACTGTGTGAAGGGGAGACTGTATGGGTAGGAGACTGTGTGAAGGGGTGTATGAGTAGGAGACTGTGTGAAGGGGGAGACGTATGGGTAGGAGACTGTGTGAAGGGGTGTATGGTTAGGAGACTGTGTGAAGGGGTGTATGGGTAGGAGACTGTGTGAAGGGGTGTATGGGTAGGAGACTGTGTGAAGGGGTGTATGGGAAGGAGACTGTGTGAAGGGGCGTATGGGTAGGAGACTGGTTAAGGGGTGTATGAGACTGTGTGAAGGGGTGTATGGGTAGGAGACTGTGTGAAGGGGTGTATGGGTAGGAGACTGTGTGAAAGGGGCGCGGAGGGGACTACTGATGTATGGTAGGAGACTGTGTGAAGGGGTATGGTAGGAGACTGTGTGTTGGGAAACTGAGTGTGGGGTGTGAAGGGGTGTATGAGTGGAGAATGTGTGAAGGGGTATCTGTTACTAGGAGACTGTGTGAAGGGTGTATGGGTATCTGTTACTGGGAGTGTGAGTGGATGTGTGATCTGTTTAGGGAGACTGTATGGAGTGTGTATGGGTGGGAGGTGTATCTGGGTAGGAGACTGTGGACAGTGAGCTGTGTAGGATGTATCTGTTACACAGGCGTGAGTGGAGGTATCTGTTACTGGGAAGTGGAGTGGATGGATCTGTTACTGGGAGTGTGAGTATGGGGTATATGTTACTGGGAGAATGAGTGGAGATATCTGTTACTGGGAGCGTGAGAGTGGAGGTATCTGTTACTGTGAGTGTGAGTGGATGTATCTGTTACTGGGAGTGTGAGTGGAGGTATCTGTTACTGGGAGAGTGAGTGGAGATATCTGTTACTGGGAGCGTGAGTGGAGGATATCTGTTACTGGGAGTGTGAGTGGAGGTATCTGTTACTGGGAGTGTGAGTGGATGTATCTGTTACTGGGAGTGTGAGGGGAGGTATATGTTACTGGGAGAATGAGTGGAGATATCTGTTATTGGGAGCGTGAGAGGAGGTATCTGTTACTGTGAGTGTGAGTGGAGGTATCTGTGACCGGGAGCGTTAGAGGAGGTATCTGTTACTGGGAGAATGAGTGGATGTATCTGTTACTGGGAGTGTGAGTGGATGTATCTGTTACTGGGAGTGTGAGTGGATGTATCTGTTACTGGGAGTGTGAGTGGAGGTATCTGTTACTGGGAGCGTGACAGGAGGTATCTGTTACTTGGAGCGTGAGAGGAGGTATCTGTTACTGGGAGAATGAGAGGAGGTATCTGTTACTGGGAGCGTGAGAGGAGGTATCTGTTACTGGGAAAATGAGAGGAGGTATCTGTTACTGGGAACGTGAGTGGAGGTATCTGTTACTGGGAGAATGAGAGGAGGTATATGTTACTGGGACAGTGAGCGTAGATATA